TGAAAGGCCAGGGCAGGGCAGGGCACACCGTGGGCGATGGGGGACCCCACTCCACTCCTGCTTGGTGCTAGGTCCTAGAGCTCCCCCAGCCCCCGGGCTCCCTAGCCCTAGTCTGCCCTGACATGCACAGCTCTGTCCAGCAGCTCTGTCCTTCACCCCTGCTGTGCTCTGGGTGCAAAGTGTGCCAGAAATGGAGGATTTCCACAGCCTCGAACCCACAACTTAATCCTGCTGCCTTTGGGACCCACGCTTCAGCCACTGGCCCTCGCCTGGCCAGGCCATTTGCACCGAACACAGTTCTGGGGACTGGAGGGTTTCTGGATACCCAGGCCCCTGTGAGTACAAGGTCCTTGGGTGTGAGTGAAGTACAGGGAAACACAGACACACACGGATTACACACTCAAGTGTGCTCACGCACACACACACACATCCTTCCTCTCCATCCTTCACACCACCTCTGGACTTGACCCACCCCATAAGAGGAGTTTGCTAAGCAGATTTCCCATTTACAGTAAAATGTGATTCCCCACAGAGCTCACGCGCACCGGGTCCTGACAAATGCCACAAATCTCGACTTGAGCTTGACACTGAGGAACATTTAGCTACATCACAGCGTTTCCTGTTACCAGAGGAAGGACCCAGATGTTGTGTTTCTCCCTTCGCTGGAGATGTGAAATGTTCACAAACCCATTACTTTTTACTTATGAGTATTAAAGTATGCTAGAGCCCGGCTTTCCTAAAAGAAATACATAATTTGATCTATCTATTCGTGGATCATTTTTGTATCTATGTGTCTATCTGTGTAACTATCCATCCGACCATCCATCATCAGCCCAGGTGAAAGGGTGGCTGGCAGACGCAGGAGCTTGTGCAGAGAAGCACAGTGTCTGTATTCAGGATGACCAGCGGGGACAGTTGTTGACTGAGCATTTCCAAATAGCCAGTGGGAAAGACTCTGAAAGTTATCAGCACAAAGCAATGAGAAAGATCTAGGGTAAACTCATTACCTGTGGTTATCCCATGGTGACCATTACACGTGAATTGAAATGTCACACTGTGCCTCATAAATACATGCGATTGAGGAGAGTCCATTTAAAATAAAAACACATGGAAGCATGCATCTTCAGAATGATCCATTGTGTAGTAAGCGTGCTGGATTCCAGCTTTCATGGGCTGAGGTTGATAGGGGGACTGTGGAAACCTCTGCTTGCCCCTACTGCAGACCCTACAGTCTTGCTAGATGGCAAACAGTGGACATCACAGCTGCATCAATGCAACTCTATTTTGGGATCTAATTTAATTTTCAGGTCACATCATATTTTTTCACAAAGATAATTGTGAATATCAATGCCAAAACCATAAATGAAGTGTGATAAAAAATATTTAGTGCATACTTACATTTTAAAAAATCAGTAGAAGACACATTGGTATCAATCCCCAATGAGTATTAGCCTCACTTTCAATGCACTTCTCCTGAGTTTTTATCACTTTCCCACACGTTGCTGGAAGAGCTCCCCCATGAGTGTCTTCGCAAAGTGTTACCCAACACCCAGTGTGAACCAACACCCAGTGAGCGGGGTGCCCAGTGCATCCCTTGGCTTGCAGAGAACCATCAAGTGCGTCCTCACCCACAGTACTCACCCTGAGCACCACACACTTCCAGCTCTGGAGCCAAGATGACCAGGGAAGGGAAATGCTTTGACTCTCTCTGTTCAGGAGACCGAGGCAGCCAGGACAGTGAAGTAAAGACTCTCAGGAAGGAGGACTCCAGAGCCGCTGCAGAGAGCAGCAAGAATGAGGCGCTGGGAGTTTGGGGTGAAGGGGGACGGATTCCTTTCCTTTTGCAGTAATAAATCTTTTTAAAAATGTAAACATTCACTGTGGTTCTTGAACACTCCCCCTAGCTACTATCTAGAAAAACATATTTATAACTGTGCTGGTTCAGAACTGTACCTATTTAAAGATACTCCATTGCCTGGGGAAGAATCTCTGTACAGAAAATTAAGTAGACGGTGATGAATAAAATGTCTGTAGGAAACAGAATTTGAGTCTGTAGTTTCAGAATGCTGTGACTTGAGGGGAACCTTGCATTTTTCTCCATTGTGTTCTATTTGAAAGAAAGCCATTCTGCTTTCACTGTGTACCTTAAATTTTGCCCCTTGGGTATTTAGGATTATCACATAGCATGTCTTGAGCTGATACAAAACCACCTTTCATTCATTCTTACAATTGCAAATATTAGGAGTTGGCTAAAGTATGGCATAATTAAAGTGATCTGAATTTATTTGCTAATGAACAATGATTTTTCTTCTAAGAATATTTTCAAGACATCAAATTAGATAATCTACATGTTATTGAGTATTATTATGTCAAACAGTTATCAAAATCAGGGAAAACCTGAATGACTGTACTAGAAGTGAAGTGCACACCTGTGCTAAAGGACACTAAACTGAATTGAAAGGCTGGATGATGGGTTCTCTCCCATTTTAGCCCCAGCCTGGCTGGGTCTGTGCTGCTGGAAAGGAGTTTCCCTGGGCTCCATTCTCTAACCTGCAATCAAATCCAGAGAGTAGCTGTGATAATGATGTTAATGCTCTAAAGTTAGAGAAGCTTGAATCATTATGGAAGGCTCTCCCCAGCCACCTGAGAGAAGGTTCCAGAACAGTAAGGGCTAAGCCTGAGAGGCCAGGTGGGCTCTGAGAGGATCCTTCCAGTCCATGTAGGCAAGGATCTTTCAACCCTCATCAGTCCAAGTAAAGACAACCTCCACCATCACAGATGGCTACTAGCATAATGAAAGAGAAAAAGAGAAACCTGATTGTAGCTTCTTAAGCTTTCTTTTGAGTTCAAGTTGTAAAGTAATAAAATCAGAAGTAACACAATTGTGAGAATATAGAAAAATATAGTCTGTGATCAGGGATTATAGGGGACAGTTGAGATTTTAAACATTGCGACTGTGAGAGACACAGCCACAAATCCCCTCAATGCTTCCCTCCCATTACATCATGCTCATCCCTCCCTTCTCGCCACATTTGGAAGCACTTCCGGGAGTCCTCTTTCTCTAATGTCTTTAATTGTGCTCCCTCGACTGACTTGATACCCTAAATCCATTCTAAACCTTTACCTCCCTGTTCATTTTGAATTTGGGGATGACCTGGCCGTTTCATGATGACAGATCCAGTGAGTGAGGTTGATGAGGTGCAGTACAGTGCTTTCAGGAGCTGCCTTTCTGCAGGATGACACGTCCCAGCAGGACACACTGCATTTCTGATCACACCTAGCAGAGATGCTCATGAAAGAGGACTTCAGAATCGCTTCAGAGAGTGGTCAGAATGCTATGAGTGTGCAGGAAGCAAGGGAGAGAATTGAGGGTCAATAAGTAATGTGTGTCTCTTATAATAAAAATTTCTAAAAATAAATATTTACCGTACGCAATGATCACTCCTCAGTGATTGATAGCATCACTCACAAAACAAGTTTCATAAGTATTTTTCCTATAAGTAGTAGTAGACACGATATAGTTCACTGATAGATGTATGAAGTTTTGTACTTGCTCTTTCCTGTCATGTATTCCCATGAGTTCTTACATTCATATTTTATATAGCAACATTATACTCTTTCAAACATATCTGAACATAACTTATTCAAGCATGGTCCTACTGGGCATTTTTATTGCTTCCAAATTTATGAAGAGTAATTTTCTGTATTATTTTGGAGAATAAATCTCTTCTGCCAGAAATTATATCAATTAGTGTTAATAGGATCTCTTTTAAAATTAATAAGAATTGCATATATTTATGACACACATGCATTATATTTTAAAATACATATATGCTGTGGAAAGGTTAAATCATATTATTTACTTTACAAACTCCTGACATTTTTAGTGTGATGAGAACATTTGAAATCTGTGCCAGCAACACTCTGGTGAGTAATGTGTTGCTATTAACTGTAGTCACTGTGCTGGCCAGGAGACCCACCTCTCCCAAGAGAGATTTTGTGTCCTTTGCCCAGTACTTCCCAATCCCTCTCCCTCCTCAGCCTCCTGCAGTCAGTGTTCTACTCTACTTCTCTGATATCTATTCATAGAAACGCTGCCAGTAAGTGAGGTTCACGCGAGCACAGCACATTTTTCCAGTCAGCAAGGACAGACGTGTCCGTGTGTCCCCTTTCATCCTGACCCACTGTTAGCATCATGTGCTATGTAGGTGTCTTTGCACTTTTCTCTGTGACACTTTCTACTCCCTAAGCCCCTACCCTGGATGTGTCAGACAGATCCCCCAGCAAAGCCCCTTGTAATAGTGGGCTTGTCCGAGAGGGAGACATAACTGCATTCCGCTAGTGCCAGAGGATGCGGTGCAAGGGCCCAGACCTGACAATGCCTCTCAGCCTGCCTCTCACACCCGTGCAGCGGTGACTGGCTGTTAATGGTTACAGCTTTACAGCTTCATGTCTGCAGATTAGCCTGCTGCCATGGCAGTTCTTCATCCGACTCTAGGTTGGATGGATCGCTCTTCTCACAGGTTCTTTTCCTGTGAGATGCATTTTTGAATTATATCACTGGCCTTCTGAAGATGATAAATGCTTGTGACAGGAGCATACATCCTTACTGTGGCACTTCCTCAGCTGGGACTTTCTCAGTCCTTGCTTTTGAAAGGCATTTATTCAAACAGAATGACAACCAGCCTCGATCTGTTGTCTGAGCATGTGATTCCTTCGCACACATTGCTTCTTGGGCACTTTGGTGCCTGGAGAGGCCACCTTTGCCTTCTTCTTGGTTTGGGAGATGCCAGTCTGGGTTCCTGAGCTTCTCTGGCTGTTATAGGAGATAGAGAACAAGTCACCTCTGGCCCTGTCTCCCTAGCCTCGCTCGGTGCCCCCTGGCTCTGAGCATGACCACCTGGGAGTGTTTGAGGGATAAACCACAGAGGCCCCTCACTGTCTCCTTTCGCAGGGCGGCGTCTGTGAGTAACTGGATTGTCTGTTTCTCTACTGCCCAGGGTTGGTGCCAATGTGCAGTTCTCCTGTGAGGACAATTATGTGATCCAGGGATCCAAGGCCATCACGTGCCAGAGAGTGACCGAGACGCTGGCAGCATGGAGTGACCACCGGCCCATCTGCCGAGGTGAGGTGCCTGGTCAGCCGTGGTCTGGTGTCTTCAGGGTGGGGCATCTTTATCCATAGGTTTAAGGAGGCTTAAGTGTAAAGTACTGTCTGTAGAGAGAAGAACTTGTCGGTCCTGATGTGATTAAAGAAGAAAGACTCTTGAAGCATGTTAGGAGGTGAACATTTCCAGCAGCATTAGTGTTTTCACACTTCAGCAACAACACAAGCAAACCACTACTGCAAGCTCACGCAGCCTCCTGGGTGTACCTCAGGGTCCCTCTTCCTGCGCCCAGGATAGGATGTGTGCATATGTGCTGCATGACCAGGCCCTTTGGTACCTCTGTGTGCCTGCCTGGGGATCTGGAACTTCTCTCCTTCCCACTGCAGCAGGGTTGAATTCTTGAGGTTTCATTTCATGAGAATAAAGGGAGTTTCTTAGTGTGGTTGTAAGCTACCACTTTATTGGTGTCTTAAGGAAGCCTTGACAGCACTGACAATGCCAAATCTTTGTCACCATCATTAACACCTTCAAAGAAAATGCACAAAATCCAAAGTATTAATTTGTCACTTCCATACAGTATATTATTTCTACCAGAATCTTATAAATCATAAAACAGGAGAAAATTATTTTGACTGGTTCAGTATGGGAAATAGTAATAGATTTAAGAGACACTAGTGTTTAGTTTTAGCAAATAAAATAATTTGACAAATAAAATAATCTGTGCAAACTGGTGTTTTCAAGGAGAGAACAGCACCACAGTAAAGTTTCATATGTAACGATGCGATCCCTTCCATTGGCTTTTTAGAACAAATAGTTGTAAGATGTCCATGTTAGTTACACCTTGTGAAAAGAAATCATTTTAAGATGTATTTCCAACTTCGTCTGAACAAAGAACCCCCGTGGCACTGCGGTCCACCCTGACCACGGGTGCCCAGAACAAGGAACTGCACCCTTGGGAGCTTCTGTCTGCCTGAGGCTTGGGGGAGGGGTCTCCTGCTCAAGGGAGCTGTGTCACAGAGAAGCACCTTGCCTTGCTCAGCCAAGTCCACGCAGCTGTGCCATTCCAGCCCTCACTGGCTGACTGCTTTGTGCATTTTCTGACCCGAACCCAAATCACTGCATTTTCACAAGGACTGCACCCCTTCCAGCCCTGAGGGGGTGGGGCCACCAGCCTCCCTGTTACATAGTACCATGAGGTCCCGGTGTTATTCCCTCTACTAAAGAGCAATTATTTATTCTTCCATAGTCTTCTTATTTTAGTTTTGAAAAGTCCAAGTGACACAATTGTCAAGCCTATTTTCCTATACATTTGTTACACTGGGAGGGGTTCAGGGTGACATAGGAGACATTTTCACACCTTTGATTTTTATTTCTTATCTTTCTGTGGCCTGCGTTTGTCACTTAGCATAAGGACCGCCAGTTCCATCTGCATTGCTGTGAGTGACAAAGATTTTGCTCTTTTCTGCTGGGCAGTATTTCTTCACCTCCCCATGGGGCTAGGCCCAGCCCTGGTCTCCATTTCTTGGCTCCCAGGAGGGAGCAGAGCTGCTTGGAGAAGGACACTCTGACTCATCTGCTCCGGTGTGGGATCTGGAGTGGGATTCTCATGTCACGGCTGGGCACTAGATTTTGCAGAGCCCCGGCTGCCCTGTGACAGCGCCCCCAGCGGTGTGCTGGGCTTCCTTCCCTCTGGTCCATGAAGGAGGCTTCAGACTCTGCTCTCCAGATGCCAGTGTCCAGGCTGGCCATACCAGAGGGCAGCTCTCGGCCTCAAAGGCAGAGTGGCTGTGCTGGGCTCCTGTCCTCTCAGCGGCCCGTGGGGTGGTGCCTCTGCCTCTCTCTCAGCCAATGGCTTTCACCTTCCTGGGACAGTGATCCCTGAGAATGTGTTTCCCAGCCGATGCGTTGTGCTGGCCTGTGCTCAGGACAGAAGAGGTGCCTGTCAAGTGTCCATGAGACCATCCTCCTACTTCAGCCAAACCGTGCTCTTCTCAGCCTGTTTTCCTGTCTGGCTATTAACAAAAAGGGCGTAACCTACATGATTCCAACACTAACATTATAACTAAAATGAAAATGCACTTAAACAGTTTGATTCCACTATCACCTGGAACCTCCTTTTGAATCCGTCGGTATTTCCCGAATGTGAATTTTAAGGTGACTGGTATGTCACCCTAAAGCAGTTTACTCCTAGAATGAATGGACACGCAGTGTTGATGTTCCAGTGAGTGTGTATGGTGTGCAATGTCCGGGCCCCCCATCTGCTCCTTACACACTCACCATTGCTTTGTGATGAGAGCAGACCAAGCTGCTCTTTGTTTGTTTTGCTTCGTTTGGAGTACACAGACCATCTTGGTCTCCTTCCCCCGTGACACAGTTCCGAGCTCCTTTCCTGACCACTCTGCTTCCCTGCTGTCGCCCTGCCCCAGCCTCCCTTCGCACCCCCTTAGCTCTTACTCCCGCCTCTGCTTCCGACCTCACAACACCCCGCAGCTGTTGAGTGTCTCTCCTTCTGGAATGTCCTTTGGTCCTTTGCTGCTGGGGACTGCCTCCCTCCTTCCCTGTCCCCAGCCGCAGACTCCTTGAGGTGCAGACTTCCCCTGACAGCCGTTCAAGGCCTCTGAGTCTCCTGTCTCCTCCTCCACTAGCTGTTACCACCCATCTCTGAAGCTGCCCAGCTCATGACGGCCACACTGCCCATCCACACACATGGCAGCCTCTGTACCACTGTGTACTGCGGGTACAGAGGGAACAGATGCATGTGGATTTGGGGGTGCAGCTCCCAAAGCCCTGGGCTGGAGCTGGAGTGGGACCCCTGAAGAAAGGCAGTGGAGGAGAGCAGGCTATGCCCTGGGTATGGTCAGTGCTCTCCGCTAGTGGAGTCCTCTTGGAGGACTCTATCTGTCCTCCCTGGAGGCCTCTCTCTGTCCTCCCTGGAGGCCACACAGAGCAACCTCCCAGACTGGATGCCCTGGGTCAGGGGCTAGTGGTATCTGCAGGTCCCTGCATGGGAGCACCCACACCGTGTGACCTCAGGGACCAGAGAGCACAGCCATGGCTTCCACCATTCCTCTCTCTGCAGAAGAGCCGGAGCCCCACCATCCAGAAGCAAAATACGGGGACATTCCGGGAGCAGGTGGCTAAGGCCCAGGCCACCCATGTGATTACTGCTGGGTCAGAGTTGGGGTGGTGGCCCCTGGGCCCCTCTATGCACCCCAACTCTGGGAGGCTGGACATTGCCCAAAAGGTTAAGTCAGGTGCTGATCAGGGCCCCACCCAGCAGGGTGCATCACCATGACTGGGCCATGTTCCTGTCCCGAGCTCCAGGCAGGGCTGCTCCTGAGAAGGATCTAGCTACTTCCCACCTGGACAAACACAGGTCTCATGGGCAGCTGTCAGACATTTTCCATAGCTTTGAAAAATAGGCAGAGGGAGACTCAGTAACATTTTGTTTAAACCAAACATCTAAAATATTGCAATTTAAAGATACTATCGATATAAGAATTGTTATAAATGTTTTATGTTCTTTCCCTTTTCTCTTTTTCCTGCTCTTCTCCTCCTCCTTCTTCTCCTCATTTTTCTCCCCTTCTCCCATCCTCTTTATAGTACTAGGCTGGGACTCAGGGCCTTGGGCTAACCTGAACTACACTTGCCATTCTCAGCCCCAATGTACGCACTTGCTTATTCCTGAGACAGGGTCTCAGTGTTGCTTCTAGGTGATCCTCCTGCCTCAGCCTTCCTGTACACCAGCATGCCTGACTCCCTTTAGGCTTTTCATACCATGGCAGAGGAACCCAAAGTGTTCTTTGCACTTAGAGCTCATCTCCCTGCCAGCCACGCTCTGTAAGCTCTGCATCCTCTCGTGCTGCAGAGGATGACCCTGCTCTATGGCTGGAACCCTGCCCACAGCCTTGCTTCCATCCCAAGCATTCAGAGCCCTCAGCACCTGGTGTGGTGAAGAGGAGGCTGCAGACAGCAGCGCGCACGCCCTCCAGCTGCCACTGGGAAGCATCTCAGTGAGCAACTCACATGGCCCTGGAGGGTGTGAGTCCACCACTGCCACTCATGCACGAGCGAGCAGCTGAAAGAGGCTTTCACAAGCAGAGCTCTGCAGCCTGCTTCCCCAAGATGACTTCAGATGTCTGTGGGTATAGGAAGGTGGATACCTCGAAATGTAGTTTTTCAGTCCCTGCTCAAAAGGGACTGCAGGCTATTTACCTAGCTCTCAGTAGATTTCCTGTCACAATAGCATTTTCTGTGTACACTTCCCACCCTCTGCGCCATAATGATCAGCTGTAAAAAAGCAGCATCACTTGTGAAGTCCCTGATTCACTGCCAGCCATTCATCTCAGCTCCATTTCCTGAGCAGTGGAAAGCTTCGCTTCTGAATGCTGAGCACTCTGTGACAGCATACATTTCAGGTCCCTGGGTCCAGCGAGGCAGGTCCTTGCGCCTATCCAGGCAGAGGGTCTCCAGCCAAGTGATGGCCTGCCCAGCCAATCCCATTCCAGGGCAGCTGACTACAGCCTTTGAGAAGTCTCAGTGACCCCGACACAGTGGAGGCCGAGACAGTAGCTTTCCTTCTTGTTACCAAACAGATGGATGTTGTCGTAGCTCAGTAACTATACAAGCAATTTCATTTGAAATTATGTTTATTCCGTTTAGGGATATGAAAACAACTATTATAACTTTCGTCAGAGTGAACACTATGAGTAGTTTAAAAGTGTGTAAGTATTTTTAACCGGCAGTAAAATATGTTTAAAGTAAGCGAACATGAAGAAGCAGTGGAGGCCAGGGTGTCCTCGACACACAGGGGGAGGCTGAAGCAGGGAACCTTTCCTCCCGCCCGCAGGCCATGGTGCCTCGAGCTGCCCCCCTAGTAGAAAGGGCACAGAGGTGAAGGGGTGTTTGCAAGCATAGCCATCCGCACATGCAAGCTAACCAGGGCCAGCAAGTGTCTGGGGTAAAATTTGCATTGCTTTAGAATTCTAGCTTAGGTGGCTCAGAATTACCCTTACCTCACTGATTTGTCACCTGCTAGGAGGTGATAAAGTGTTTTCATTCCCACCCCAATTTCCATGCTGAAATGATCTTTGAAATAGTTACTAAAGAGAATGTTTGCCTCTGAAAGGTAATTCATTCCACTAGGTCACAGATCCAGTGTCAAATCTAAAATTATGGCTCATACTGATTATTGACCAGATAGCTACTATATCAGAGGTTTAAAGAAATAGACACACAAGCTAGGCATAGTGGTACATGCCTGTAATTTCATCATTATGGTAGGTGGAGACAGAATGATCTCAAGTTTAAGACCAACCTGGGCTACTTCATGACTTAGCAGTATTCTCTGTCAAAAGAAAAAGCAAAACTTGGGCCTGGATATACAGCTCAATGTGAAGGTCCTGGATTGAGTTCCAAAGACTGGGAGACATTTACACAATAGTTAATTTTTTTCTAGTACCACAAGTTGAACTCAAGATGCTACACTTCCCAGGTGGGTGCTTGTGCTCCTGAGCTACATTCCTGACACACAATAGTTAGTTTTTGAATTCTGTTAACTTTGGAGAAATATTAATTATTGGTTTCTGACTCTTGTGCTTTATTCCTTTTATCTCTAAGGTCACTTAGGAGTAAATACTTTCCTCCATATTACTTTTAACTATTATATGCAATAATAAATTCCCATACAAGAAATATACATAAAAGAAATACAAGAAATAAAACAAGAAACGTAATATTAATTTGCTTGAAATAAAGCTTCAAATGTGTGTCTTGATATGCTATGAATTTAAATTTACTTGATTAAGACATTCCTGTCCTTCATGAGCTTGATTAATTGAATGATTCCTGAAGAACATAGAGCATTTCCTGGAACAGAACTTAAACAAGTAATTTGTTCAGATTAAATGAGATAAATCATTTGAGAGAAATGTATTTTGTACTTAATACATACTCATCAATTAGGTGGACAGAGGCCTTACATCGGCATTGAAAACAGATTTATCGTCTTCTTCCCGTCCACTTTCCTTTTATAGTGTCACACTTCCAAGGTGTCATTTTGTGAGTTCTAGTTTTAGCTGAAAATATATAGATAGAAGTGAGATTAAGTTTACAAGCATAGAGCTGTGTCCAAAGGGTAACATTGATTATGCATTAGGTCATGGTTGTTATCCAAGGACAGTCATTAAGCTTGTTTCTTTCAATCTATTCACACAAGATCTTGACAAGGGCCAGGGCGCTGGCAGGACTGAAAAGTGATATTCAGCTGTGCATACTTTGCTTTTCAGTGATGGGACGTGCAAAGGCTTCCTTGGCACCAGTACACTGTGATTACTTACCAGAATGGGATTGTGACCATTTGGATATGTATTTCGGATAGAACTGTAAGGGAAGAAGTTCCTGTCCTCAGAGGACGCTAAATTGTCCCCTTAGCATCAGAGTGGGTTTCTTTAGTTGTGCTCCTGCCTGAGGACCTCGTGAGTTCCTTGGCAAGGAAAGTCACAGTGGCTGAGCACAGGCGTGGGTACCCGCAGGGTTGCAGTGGATGATTAGGATGGGGAGGAGGGGTGAGACCCCAGCTGACCTTTTCAGAGATCCCTAAGAGGAGAATTAGAACGAAGTAGCACAGGAAGTTTAAGGTTGCTGTACCTGCTCAAAAGATGTTCACTGAAGAAACTGAAAAATGTCAGGAATTGTTCCCAAAATCAAGTTATAAAAATGAGCAAAATGGGCTAAAACCTCTGTCCTGAGTATGTGCACTGACTTCACTTCAGATAGTTGATAGCTGGCTAGAAAATGCATGTTAAATGAAATAAAAATAGCACATTGTTACGATGCATGCAAAATATTCTTAGGATCTAGTTGACAAATTTTGGCCAAAGAGACCGCTCAGAAGGACTTGCCCTGTGTGAAGGACCATGACCTGTGTGCTTGGATGCTGGGGACAGGCTGCTTCCCTGGACTATCTTACACTTAACAGCTCAATCAAACATCAATCGCTACGAATTATCATCCCCAAGCAGTGAGTGAGATGAATTTCATGAAATACCAGAGCTCTCTTAATAAATCAAGTCAAGCCAGCTTCAAAGCTGGCAGCTGGAACAGGGGAGGAAGAGGGCTAGATGTGGGGCAGCTGGGAAGATGAGGGCAGGCACCGGTGGTGGTGGTTCTCCAGAACAATTTCTCAGAGAGTTTGACACATTTAGAGTAACAGTGTATTACACTGACTCATCATTAAAGCAAAAAAAAAAAAAAATATTTAAGTAAGGCCATATTAAGCTTTGAATAAATACTAGTTATGGAATAAACTGTTAAAATGTAACAGAAAGTCACTGTGTTTGTGATGTTTTAGTCTAAGGTATTCTAAAACTGCTGAGCTCAGTGTGCTGTAGGGAGAGTTCACACCTCAAATGCCTGACCATTCCTAAGGTAGACCAGTTAGCCTGGGCAGAGCTGTGAGTAGGGAGGGTCCACGTCAGGATGCAGTTTTCAGGTGGCCTTCCAACAGAGAACCAATCTTTTCTCCATCTTCATTGAACTGTGGTTCATTTGGAGGGTGAATTCGAGTATTTTAAAAACTTATTCATTAATGGCATGTTTCTGTAGTAAACACTAAGCAACCAGGAAGATGCCTGTGGCTCTCAGCTCAGTTTTACACAAACATCCAAGAGAGTAAAGATTCTGTCTGCTGTGGAGGGCATCCCATTTGGGGTAAGGAAACGCTGAGAAATCCAGAGTCTTATGGGAGATTAGAACTGTGGATTAGTAATCACTGGTAACACAATGAAGAACTTGCAGTGGGTTACAGGTGGGCACCACCATGCCCAGTTACCATCTCACATCAGTGCACATGGATGAGATAAATGTGTTTGCTCCTCAGTCCCACAGGGAGCCCCTCATTCGGGAAGAGTCTCAGCAGCAATACTGGTCTGAAGCAGAGCTGGACCACAGAACAGGACATGGCCAGGGTCACCCTTCACCAGGCAGACAGTCTTACGTGTTGTGTCCAGAATGACAATGCATAGGTCTCCCATACTCCTTGAAAATGTCTTTCTTTTTCATTTTGAGCCTTATTAAAATCATTATTATTAAAACTAGACCTCAGGCTGGCATTAGATTTTCAAAGTTTCCTTATTGATTTGAAAAAAACTGTTTAGAATAAAAGGTTGATTGAAGTACTTATAGATCCCAAATGGAACTGTTTCTACACTCACATCTTTCTGCGCCCCACTTGGTCTTTCATTTCAACTTGAAGAAATGGAACACAGTATTCTCCTTTTGCTTGTTGAGCCACCATTTCTATTTTCTTTCTTTAACCTTCCAGCTATGTTTTAGGTTTTATTTGCTCAGTGCTATAAAGTAATTGGTGCCAATTTGTAGTTCAGCATCTGAAGTTCGCAATAACCATGCCTTCCTGTGCTCCTTTAGCTGTGCTGTGGAAGTGGCTTGTTCGGGTTCACCGGGGCCAAGACAGCCGTGGACCCCCAACCCTGTGAGCTGTGTTGTGCGTGATGTCTCATCGCATCCACGTTTACCTCCAGGAACATGCAGAATCTCTGGATATATACAAATGGTTTTGTTTGTTTGCTTGTATGTGTTTATTTTCTTAGAGTAGGATTTGAAGGGGACTGATTCCATTCTGACATTACCCACGGAGCTGACCATCAGCTCATCTTGCGAGCACCCGCACACCTCCAAGCATCGTATATTAAAGCATCTCTAGCACATATGGAGGTTTCCAAACAAGGGTCTTGAAGCCTGAGCAAACTACGCTCGCCAGCTTGAGTCCATGAATTGTTGCCATCGCGAAGGTTGAGAGCTAAGCTGCAGTCCTTAGAAACGGTGGTGCCTGTTCCCCATGGTGAAGTGTAACACTGACTCCGTCTTTTTCCAGCAAGGACATGTGGGTCCAATCTGCGCGGGCCCAGCGGCGTCATCACCTCCCCCAACTACCCGGTTCAGTATGAAGACAATGCACACTGTGTGTGGGTGATCACCACTGCCGACCCGGACAAGGTAAGGCCCTGGCCCTCCTCAGCAGCCAACTCTCTCAGATGTTTGACCACACACCCTGGCAGGGGCCTGTTGGTTCCATTTGCAGTCTGACATGCAGACCTGCACATCCTCAGCGAGGCATCTTCCTGGGTCTGGAGGAAGGGCGTGGCCTTCCATCTAGTCCCAGAGGCTTCTTCCCCCAGTGGGACATCAAAGGGCCTCAAGGCACACCCCTCCCTCAGCCCTAAGCACTGGGCCTCCCAGCTCCTGGAACTCTCTCCTGCAGCAGCTGTCCAGAGCACGCTGTGCCCAGCTGTGAGCGCTAGGGCCACACCTGCTATGCCCAGGCAGTGGTGAAGCTCTGCTCAGTGTTTCTAAGTCCCGCGCTTGCATTGCCTTTCATGATCCACGTGCTTTCCTAGATGCAAACAACTCTTGCTTTGTCTTAAATGCGTTAAGTTGATTATATGTTCCTTGTCGTGGTGAGAGACAGGGAAACTATGCTATTTCTCTGTAAGTTTTGCACACATGGTGCAATTACATGATTGCATCTTAAAACATAGGCCAGAAAAGCGTAATTATAATTGTCTTTCTCTTGATATAAAATGAATTGTCTTTAGTTCAATTTAAATTCAATATACATAGATGGCTACCAGGGAACACAGGAAGTAGTTAGCAAAGATGGAATGTCTTTATATTGATTTGATGTTTTAAAAATCAGATGGCAAATATTCTGAATATGGATTTCAATGCACTGAATAAACTACACACACAATATTAAAGGACCAATTTATAAATGTACTAGGCACACAACCCTTGCAGCTTTTGAGAGACTGTGGTAGGAGAGTCCTGTGTAAGAAGGCAGTCACCTCCGCAGCTTGTGCTCCACTGAACTCCTGGCACAGGGGCACAAGCTTCTGACCTTGCCTGGTACCAGCTTTTAGCCAGAGCAGTTCTGATCTGTTTCCAGGGATGTTTCCACCAGACACCTTTGGATTTTTTTGCTTCCCAAAGTTCTGACATTTCAGCTGGTACTTATGGGAAAATGCCAACTTTAATAAAAATGAGTAATGATTCAGAGAGTTGAGGGCTTTTCCCAGGAGCAGGGAGGGATTCAGGCTAGCATCACTCTGACAAAGGCCCCAGGTTTCACTACAGGCCTCTCACTATTCCGGGCTGGCTGGTTCCTGGTTCCTTGGGATGGATGGCAGTTGTATGAATGCAAACTACAGATTCCCAGTGAGTCCCTTACTTGAATTCTCAGTAAGCACCACCTGTTTCCAGGGCCCTCTTCTCACCTATTGGATACCAGCTCTCTCACTCTGGGAATCTGAGTCCCAGACTGCTGGCGTGTTAAGGAGACAGGGAGAAGTTTCCTCAGGAGGTGGCTTGGGAAAGCAGATGCATATGCATGCCTCAGTGAGGGCACCAGCATCCTCTGGCCTCAGGCTGCAAGTATTAACATGAATGGGTATCAAATGAAAACCTGGTACCTTGATGAGCACTTAAAACCATTGCATTTATTTGTCGATGGTAAAGAAAAAAGTTTGAGAATGCAGCATAGGCCTGGAGGTTAGAGAGAGAAAACTTTGAGAAAAAAATGCTAAGTAATTGGGCTTGTTGGGGATGACGTTGTGTTGAATATGATACGTTAAATATGATATATCTGCTCCACAGGGACCCCAGTGAAAAATAAGTGTTTGGTTAGGCATGGTAGCACATGCCTATAATCACAGCACTTGGGAGACTGAGGCAGGAGGGTCACCATGAGTTTGAAGCCAGCCAGTGCTACATAAGCAACTTCAAGGCCATCCTGGGCTACATAGCTAGATCGGTCTCCAAAAATAAATAAATAAATAAATAAAAATAACGTTTAAGCCCCGGGGCTCACAATGCTGTGGGGCCCAGGGTATCTTCCTGGACATCTTTGAGCTACAGTTTATGTGACTTTTGCAATTAGAATAAATTTAGAAAACAGGTTAAAGTCTATCTGAGGCATTTCTGAGTTGCAGTGTTTGGGCCTCATATGGTTCTGGATAACCAGCCTGGGGCCCCCAAAGATGGTGACCCTTCAGCATTGCTCCATCACTTTTAGCATGTACTGCGTAGGTGACCAGGGAGCAGTGCTAACCCCACCTCCCACACACAGTCACGCTCAAGCCTGTGGGTACCAGAGGCAGCACATGTGTGCAGCTAGTGAGTGAAATGCAGGAACGAGCAACACACACAGTATTTCAGCTTGCTGCACAAGTGTGAGCTGCAAAGATGAATGATTTGTAGTGAAGCAAGCCGGGAGGTTTTCTCATTTGGTTACTAAACTTGGGTTTGTTGTAATCTTTTGTGAAGTAACTTAATGATCCAAGTGGTTTTGTTACCTTTAATTTAACATGGACCCAGGCAGGACATTGCCTCTGCACTCCTCATGACACAGACTAGCTGAAGGTGGCACACGTGGTCTAGATGGTTCCAGAACATTACACATATGTACTGCAAGGAAAGGAACATGTGCAAGTGGGGGACCCCGGGAATCAGGAGAAGTCACTTGGGGGGCACAGCAGCTATGTCCCCAGTGAGCAAGGGAAGGCACCCGTGGGAATTCACCTCCACAGCTCTGGAGCCAGAAGGAGCCAGCTACTGCCCGAAACCTGCCAGGGTGACTTCAGGGAGGGACTTCTCTCTGTCCCCACCTCTCTCTGTGAAGGAGGCTCTGATTTGGGGGACCACTCTCTGTCAGCCTTTCCTGTGGAGAAGACATGGGTGGCCGTGGGTGTGTGGTGTGTGACCAGCTCCAGTGCTGGGTGGCATCTGGTGTGGAGTGGGCAGGGCACAGCAGTGGGGGGCAGCAACCCCAAAGATGTGTCCACTGTGGCCTCGGGAGACCTGGCCCCTCTGGCTACTGGATGTGAGGCGCAGGGTGCAGACAGGACTGAACTGCCTGGCTCATCACCGTCTCTAGCAGGAGCGTGGGCAACAGGAAACATGGTGAGAATGACCGGGGACTGTGAGGAGACCCCGGGTGCTGGCCCTGTCTCCCAGGCAACCCGGCCTCCTTGCACACCTGCTAGCAGTTCCCCACTGTTCCTCTCAGTTCCTGGCCTGCGAGGATGGATGGGTTCTCCCTGTTTTGAACCAGGAGAGACATTTGTTATTGAGTGAGAAGCACTTGTTATTGGGGAGTGATGAGTCTGGTATTAGTCTAGCAAGAGTGGACTGTGGAGCTCATATGCGAGTGGGTGGGGCTCAGAGGTGAGTTGGGAACTCACACATGTGAGTAGCTGTGACTCCAGAAGTGAATTAGGGACTCACTGATGCTGGTGCGTCTGTGGGAGTGAACTGGGAGCCCAGGTGTGTCTTGGGGTCTGAGGAAACCGGGGGTAAGAACGGGGCTTTGCAGGGATGCCAAGTACAGTCAAAGCAAGTGATGTTAGTGGTGTTTCTTCCCTTCAAGGTCAAATGAAGGTGAACGTGGCTTCCACTCTAGTGAGAATGACCTTTAGGAAGTGTCATTAGCTTTAAAAAGTCTTTTGTTGTGTAGTGGAAGACCCATGATGTTTTGGTGGAGAAGATAATGCCTCCCATTTAACTCTTGGGGAAATGTCATTAATATCTTTCTAATGCTTCCAGAATTCACTAAAATTCCAGCCCACATCTGCATGGAGGTTTTTTATAGCTCACTATGCTGTGCATGTGTATTAGGGCTTCTGCCTCTTTTCCACACAAAGCAGAATCATTCAAAGTGCTCTTCAAGGGAAGCTTGGAGACCAGACACATACCCATCTTGGGGCAGAGAGGAAGCCAAGGTCTACAGAGCTAAACTCAGGTTCCTTGTTCCTGTTGCCTTTCTGGCTTCCTGCAAGAAGAGCGATTTCTTTTTGCAGCTGTCCTTTCTGTTATAACTTTGCTGAGTGCTAAGAGGGAGTGAAATAGATTCTTCAAGATGCTGACAGTAGGGTTTTGGCAGTGGAATGTTTTAGAGGTGCACAGAGCAAAGCAGTTTGGGAGAACATTTTTCATGCAGCACAGGGCTGAGGAGGAAGGCTCTGTCCTGCTCAGCAGCTCAGCAATGCCCTTGAAGACTCAGGAACACTCCTCTGCTCTCGGGACACAGAACCTTCTCGGGACTGTGTCTGTCCTCACAAGGGTGCCAGCATCACTGCCACTCTGCAGATTTTAGCGACAAAATCAAGGCAACGCAGACAGGAGACAGGTTTCAGCATTTGCCCAGCCAACTTCCATCAAGTTCTCTTGAGCCAAAGTCCATGATTCACACCCCAGGGGCCTTGAGGAACTTTCTGGAAGCAAAAAAAAAAAAAAAAAAAAAAAATCCGATCAGTTGTTTGTAGGACTCACAATGCATTCACTTACAGACAAAATACCAGGAAAACTGCACTTAGCAGACCTGAGATTACTTTATTCCCTGTTTCAGAGCCTTCTGCCTCTTCACCAGACCCTGGGACTAACTTTAGAGATCTCTAGATATGTGCATTGGACTTCTCGGATTTGACTTTTAAACTTGTCTGAATTTACAATGCAAATAATGGACTCAGGTGGTTTGGGTTTATCTCCTTTTCCATTCTTGTTTTGGAAGATTTGCTCTTCTCTGCTGTCTTTGTGTTACTTTTACATAGACTTTGGGAAGAATATGTGTAAATATTGTTGACTCTGAAATACCCTGTGATTAGCAAGTTAAATTTCAGGAAGCTCATATTATATTGCTTCAGAAAAGCCTTTGCCCTAAATTTACTTTGTAGAAATGTTCAGAGAGGTGCAAAGTATTCCAGGTTGACACACTCACACAAGACACTCTTGGAAAACCACTTAGACACCTGAAGACATCTCAATTAAGCAGAATTACCATCCAAATTAAGCACCAGTCATTGCCATTAAGTATAATTAGCTTAATTTGATTCCTTGGGAGGCATCCCAAGTAAGTGGATTCTGTGATGCAACCAGGGCAATGGAGGTGGTTTTGGACCCAGACAGAGAGGCATGGAAAGCATAGAGACACAGCCCCCAGCCAA